AAATGCTGCCTTGACCTTAGTGTAAAACAATGAGCTCTCACGGTGGTACTAACCATATCTAGCAGTTATTACGAAAAGAACAGCAGCTGTGCTGAACAACTTCCACTTAGCAAGGATAGCGAGTCAGTCAGGCCCAAGAAGTTCAGTGGAAAAGAAACAGAATTGCTGGTAAGAGGTTCATCGTGCCGAATAACCACTTTTCATATTACGTTCCATATCTCACGTGGTGATGTGTACTGAGGTGATATCTCTGCGCGATGTTCCCCACAGGCAGTGCCATTTATCAGACGATTATCAGTTGCCCCAGGAATGCAGATATTACGAATCATATCACACGTGCGTCGTCTGAACTTTTCCGGCTGGGCTGTGATTTCCTTCCTTTGCAGGGCTATTTCCGGATCTCGATTTGATGGAGATTTCTGTACAGTCGTGATTCTGTCATGCATACCTCGTTTACTATCAGTCCCTCGTGTTAGTATGTGTTCCTGGTGCCCTCATGTTCTTTTATAAATCGCTAACGACGTTCATGATGCTGTCCTCCAGATAATGCTTCCTTCTTCCTCATCCCTTTACCTTTCATTTTGAAGGCTTGACTAGTTTTTATGACATGTCGAAATGCAGAGCAGATTTTGCATTGGCGACGAGGATTGAACGTTCGGAACTCATTAGAATGTGGACGTCATTGTCTAATGAAGATGTTATCGATTCTGTATCGTTAATGTCTTCGAATACACGGCCGTCCGCGATTAGAATTTTTTGCAGTGTGAGGCGAAAACTTATAAACAGCAGTTTCTCGATGCCCTCACAATACCGCCATCATATCGGGAACGATTAATCTATCTTCTTGTAAAACGCAGTGATATGATAAATGTCATCTAATGGCTGCTCTGATAATGTCCTCTCGGCCATGAGAACGCAGAGTTTGGATCGTAGCTAGCTTTTATAGTTCTAAATGGATCGTCCTTTCATTCTAAAGCAGAAAGCACTAGTGAATTTTACTGCCCATCAATCCAACAACGTCCGGATATGCGGAAACTACTGCGTATTAAATCTTCAAGTATGTTCGTATGTCAGAAGACGCATAAGTTCTCCAAAACCAGATTACACGAGGCATTACACAGTCCGTTTGCTCTCAGCCATCTAGGGGGGCCATTTAAGAACGCAACGGCTCCATAGTATTTCTGTGCTTGCAGTACCAAATACAACTCGGATTACTTTGGCGCTATAGTTACCTCGTGCTCATTACGAACGACGACCGGCTTAAATGCCCCCCCCCCTCCATAGGCAGTTGGAGCAATGAAGTGATGCAGTGCGCCGCATGATCAGGTCTGGGAGCAGTTATGCGTTAGTTATTAAAACTGAAATATTTTATACCTACATAGAGATAAATATTTTTGAACTACTAGCGTGATTAATTTTCGAAGTTACAGCAAGTTGCATATGCTAATGAACCATTCATGGTATAGGTAGCAAGAGATCTCTGATCAGAATCCATACATTCGATAACGGACCAGAAAAATCTCTCATTTGTTTATACAGCCTTCGACAATGTTCCAAACAACGAACCAAGTTAGAAAACAGGCAGAAGCTTTAGCGAGTTATCGACCGGCGCTGTCACACTTGTGTCCCCTCCAAAGTCGAATAACATTATGAAGCGTTCAGCGGCCGGTATACAAGGAAAAGGGCCCAAATTAAACGAGTCATGTTCCATAGAAACGACAAGACCTCTCTGCTCCAAACTTATGATCAGTTACAGACGACCTTAGCGCCATTCTAATTTAAGTTGCATGTTTACCTTGAAGAACTCGTGTGACAGGAGTCAAAACGTTCATATCTACCAGTGTGCTGATTGGCTACTTTTTGCACTGTATATAAAACAAGCTTTATGCTATTTGTCACTATAAAGTTAAAAATTAAATAAGAAGAAATACAGTCGATCCGTCATGCCTTTCCAAACGACAAACAAGGACAGAGACTCAATATTTGAGGTGAAATTTTTTGTCAGCTTCTCAATCAGTGATACCGATTTCAGCAACGAGAACAACTAGCAATGTAAAATAGTTTCGCGATTTATCATGCTGACAGTCCAACAGCAGTCTGATTTCGTCAGTCAGGATAGGTACCATTAGAAAACGGACTACCACGGAATTGTCTTAGTTTGAACAGCCGTTTCCCAGAATAATTGTGCATTTATAGACTAAATCCGTGATAATCGCTTAATGAGAGAATTAGAAGCATTATAAGCGGGTATGCAGAGTCGCGTGACCTTTCATGGCAATACTGTCTAAAAGAAATACCCTCCAACTACAAACCTTCAATTAGAATTGAAGGTATTCATTCATAACGATATTAAAGAATGGATCAACTCACTAAACACTTTCACCATGTTGTCTACTTTAGGGATGGAGAATGAAATTTTTTCACAGACGAAACGAAGGGCAGATACGGGCGTGCTTCCTGATTA